CTCTGGACGAGGAGGGTTGAAGGCTGACCGCTGGAATTTATTTCCACTGCTCAGAGGCTTTGAGAGTCTTTTTGTCTTCACAGGAAATGATACTTGATCTCCATGGACACACATAGAAGCAAATGCCACTTTAGCAGCTGGATTATGACTTCTATGTAATTCATAAGCCATCCATCCATCCATCCATCCATCCATTCATCCATCCATCCATCCATCCACCCATCTATCCAATCATGTATTCATCCACCAACCACTCATTAATTCACACAAGCATTAAACATGGGGTTCCTGCCACAGTCAGCATAGTGCTTGATAGGCATATAAAGTTGAATGAGACCCCCCCACAACCACCTTCTTGATGCCTTCATGTAGCATACAGGTGAATGAAGAGGCCCATCAGAGTATTGTTGGAAGTACTTGTATAGTAATCCTCCAATCACAATCACTTCCTGAGCACTCTACCAGGCACCGGTGGGAAACAATGCACATTGTTACACTACTGGCACAGAGGCAAGGATAGAGCCTTGTGAAACCTACATGGGAGAACCCAAGGAAACTTCATGGAGTAGGTGACATACAAGCTGAAACCTGTGGGGGACAAGTAGGAATTTAGCAGATAGAGGAGGGCCAATGTTGGTGTCTAGGCAAAGGGAGGGACACCCAGGAGTGGAAGGGAGAGTCTAATGTGCTCTTACGATCATTGAGGTTCAGGGGAGTGACATGACAGGGCAGGGTAAAGAGTAAGCTAGGACTTTGCATAGTATTTATTCAGAGGACAATGAGGCCACTCAAGGCTCTTAAACTAGAAGTGACATGACTTAATTTGTTTCAGCAAGGGTGTTCCTGTGGCTGTGTCAGTGGCTGAGAGGGACAGGTTTGGAGAGAGAAGATGAGGCAGCTGAGTAGTTTAGGCTACAGTGAGCAGCCATTGAATCATCGGTTGCCATCATGGTCTTTCACACATTGCCTTGTCCCACCATGCCACTCTGCCTTCTTGATCTTGCCTCCAAGCCAGGCTCACGAGTCACCTGTGAACAACCTCATTTCTCATGGTAGGCTTTGTTTGGTATTAGAAACGTGGCAGGTTTTAATCTTTCTAGCAACTTTTTTCTTTAACTTTTTATTGCTTGTTTCTTTTTTTTTTTTTTGAGACAGAGTCTCTATATAGTCCTGGCTGTCCTGGAGTTCACTAAGTAGACTAGGCTGGCCTCTAACTTACAGAGATACTCCTGCCTCTGTGTTCCAAGTGCTGGGATTAAAGCTGTGTGCCACAACTCCTCTCTTTTTAATTTTCTTTTTTTTTTTTTGAGGAGTGGGAATGATAGCTCAGTAGTTAGAACCTTTTCTGATCCCAGAGGACTCAGGTTTGGTTTCCAGCACCCACATGGAAGCTAACAACTGCCTGTAACGCCAGTTCCAAGGGCTCCAACACCCTTTCTGACCTCTCTGAACAACAAACATTCTTGTAGTCTATACATACATACACACATGTAGGCAGAACACTCATACATATAAAATAAACACAAATTAATCTTTTAAAAATGGTTATTTTTAGCTGGGCAGTGGTGTTGAACACCTTTAATACCAGCACTTGGGAGGCAGAGGCAGAGGCAGGCAGATCTATATATATATATATGTTTCTCAATGTTTCCCAGGTTTTCCTTGAATTCCTGGGTTCAAACCCTCCTTCTGTTTCAGCCTCTAGAGAAACTAGAACAATAGGCATGTACCACAGTACCTGGCTCTGTGTACTTGTGTGTACATGTTCATGTGTGTGTGTGTGTGTGTGTGTGTGCATGTATGTGAGCTATGGATAGAACTCAGGCATGCTAAGCAAGTGCTATAACATTGAAATACCTCCCCAACCCTTCCTAGCAAGTTTTTAAAACATACATTTATGTATTTATTTATTGGGAAATGGGGTGCACATACCTTGGCACATGTGTAGAGGTCAGAGGACAACTTTGGGGAGTCAGTGCTCTCCTACCACATGGGTCCAGGAAAGCAAACTCAAGTCACCCTTCTTAGCATCAAGCCATCTGGTCCATCTCCTTGACACTTTCCTATTAAGTTTTAACTCACATCTTCTACTCTGAGGACCACAAGAACTTATCCTTAGACCCTACCCCCTGCTTTTCCCAAGGAATGAGTGAATAAGAGGATGATCGTTAGGAGGTCCCCTCCTCATAGGCCAGAGAAACTTAAAACAACAGTAATAGTAGCTGTCAATCACCCAGGATCTGATCTCAATCATTGAACCAGATATAAAGTATAGTATCTTAAACCACAAAAGGCATGGTGGTGCACACCTTTAATCCCAGAACTCAGGAAGCAGAGGCAGGCAGATCTCTGAGTTTGAGTCCAGCCTGGTCTACAGAGCTAGTTCCAGGACAGCCTCCAAAGCCACAGAGTTTATGGTTTTAACCATTGAGCCCATTTCTGTCTTTTTTAAAAGCCAATAATAAATCAGGTGTGGTGGCTCATACCCGTAATTCTAGAGGCTAAAGTAAAGCAGGAGGATTGCTGCAAGCTTGGAGCTAGCCTGGCTTAGATAGTGACCCCTAGGCCAGCCTGAGCTACAGGGTGAGTCCCTGAAAAAAGACTGGTACTGTAAAGAAATTGTAAACCATTCTTAACATTTTGGTTTCCAGCCTAGCTCTCAGCAGCTGCACCATCTCTCCAGCCCAACAATTCTAATCAAGAAAAAAAGGAAAGAACATAGATACTTGGAATAGGAAAGGGAAATCATACAGAGAAAGTTTTGACATTGTAAGACTGTACTGCTCACAGTTTCCTGGACACAGAATTGGAAACCTGGATGAAAGGAATGACTTTCTAAGAGAACATAAAACACTGACATCTTAGAAGAGATGCTAAGTGGTAGATGTGGTGGCTCAGGTTGGTAATTGCAGAAGAGTCACTGTGGCTCAAGTCTGGGGTGAAAGACAAGCCAAACGAAACCAAGCCCACCCAGTTTCTTTGTCTTTCAAACTTCTGGAAAGTGCAGGAAAAGGCAGAATCTTCCTGAGTCATTGGAGTCCGATTCTCCAACTAGCAGAGGCCGTGCAACCTTAAAGGGGGGTGGATCTCATTAGAGGGCTCCAGTCCTGGGTTCACACTTAACATCTCTGTGACCTCTCTAATTTGGCGGCACTAAGCTTCAATTTCCTTATCTATAAAGTGGGGCTGATAAAAGAGCCCGTCTTAAGGGTTGTTGTGTGGTTGTGATGGCTCACATAAAATACTTACATGTCAGCTGTAATTAAGAAAATGAAATTATAAACTCCTCTACTTAGCTCCAACAATCTTAAAAATATATCAGCCAATAAAGACAAGCACTGTGCAGTAAACAATAATGTGCTATGACAAGGTCTAGTTTATTCTAAGAATGAAAGGTTGGTTCACCTTATGAAATTTAACGATATCGTTTGTTCCATCAATACCGAAGCATAGCATATAATTAGCCCAACATAGGTTGAACAAGTGTTTGATCAATGCAAACAGCCATTACTAATAAAAGCTGTTTCAAATGAAGCCCCTATGAAAGAATTTTGATTAAAGCATATCATTTGTTTGTTTTGTTTTTCTAGGCAAAGTTTCTCTGTGTAATAGCCCTGGATCTCCTGGAACTTGCTTTGTAGACCAGGCTGGCCTCCAAATCACAGAGATTCACCTGTCTCTGCCTTCCAAGTGCTGGGATTAAAGTTGTGTGCCACCACTGATCAACCCTGAAGCTCATCTTAAAAAAATACCCACTGTATTTATGATGAAATAATAGAGGTCTTTTTAAAATCAGGGACAAGAACTGGGCGGTGGTGGCACACACCTTTAATCGCAGCACTCGGGAGGCAAAAGCAAATGGATCTCTGAGTTCGAGGCCAGCCTGGTCTACAGACTGAGTTCCAGGACAGCCAGGACTACACAGAGAAACCCTGTCTTGGTGGGGGTGGGGGTGGGGGAAGAAAATAAAAGAGACAAAAATCAGGGACTAAAAAATAATGCCCACTATTACTGCTGCTATTTAGCAGTAGCCCGAAGGCCTTCAACAACGCAATCAAATGAGATGGAGAACTGTTGAGGTGTCAGTAGCACCAGTGTTGTATGAAGGGTAGGAAACTGGACCTGTCATTTTGATGGTGACCTGTGGTATGACACTGATCGTGGAAGGACAATCCTGTACACAGGTTGGCACTGACTGAAGTTCTCTGTGAGATTCCTTGATTGTGGTGGTCACATTGCAAAGTGTGACAATATTCTGGTGATAGTGATTATATATGTGGCAAAGGTTTCATGATGCCAGATAATTGTAAAGACCTCAGAACCAGGATGCTGATTGTCCTTAGGGATTGGATTTAGCAAACTTATGTGGTGACAGATATATCCCTATACCTGGAATTTGTTTGCTAGCCTCTGTTGAATGGTGAATGTGGTTGTGTTCTTTGGGTTTAAAGAGCGGATCAGGCACTGGAGGTAGGGAGGGGCTGGACTTAAAACTTTTCTTCAATCTCCCCCTTTGAGATCCAGGAATCGACTTTCAGAGTCAGAGTGACGTGAAGAGTGTTGCCAGCAGGGGGAGCACTCCAGCTAGGTAGGCTAGGGCCTAAGTCACAGTCTATGCTCTGCACTTCGCAGGCTTCCAGGGCTGGGTGGGTGTCTTAGTTACTCTTCTATGGCTGTGACAAGATACCATGACCGAGGCAAGTTATAAAAGAAAACATTTAATTGGGGGCTTATGGTCCAGGGGCTTAGAGTCCATGATTTTCATGCCAGGGAGGCAGGCAGGCATGGCACTGGAGCAATAAGTAGCAGAGAGCTTCCATCTAACCAACAAGCTCCAGATGTTTTGGATTTTTGTTTGTTTGAGACAGGGTCTCACTATGTACGTCTAGCTGTCCTGAACTCACTATATAGACTGGACTGGCCCCACTCACAGAGATCTGTCTGCCTCTGCCCTAGTGTTGGGATTAAAGGCGTGTACCACCACACCTGGCAATTCAAGGTGTTTTAAAATGGCGCGAGCTTTAGAAACCTCAAAACCCACCCCAGTGACACACCTCCTCTAACAAGGGCACACCTCCAAATCCTTCCCAAACAGTTCCATCAATGGGGACCAAACATTCAAATATATGAGCCTATGGGAGCCATTTTCATTCAGGTACCTTAGGGGGCTATTCTGAATGATGCTGCAGAGAAGTGGTGGGTTAGGGCTGTGATTTAAAAGGCTCATGTTCTCCATGGTGGTAGCTGATTTGTGTCTTTAGATAACACATTGACTTTATTTGTTAACCTGTGAACCTTCATTACTGTCTAATCTCATCTTGAACATCTTCCTAACCTCTTGACCTATTTTCTCCCAGAGGCCTCTGGGCACCTACCCAGATGAACACATAACAGAGGAGGCCCCGCAGAAAAGCATTGCAGCCTTCCAGAACTGCCTGGCACAGATCTCAAGGGACATCAGGGAACGCAACGAGAGCCTGGAACTACCCTACGCCTACTTGGACCCTCCCCTCATCGAGAACAGTGTGTCCATCTAAGGCCCACTTCACGTCATCCCAGAAGAAAGGAAGTTCCAACTAAGGGAAAGGCTGACTTCCTAGGGCCTTCCAGTCCCCTCCACGCCCCCTGTTCTCATCTTGAACCTTCTCCTTTGCTTACAGGTCCAAGATTGCCCTAACATTATATAAATGGGCCCTGAGCTGTGAGGGACCAGTACGCAGTGTTCAGGGTGAAAGCCGCTGACTAAAGTCAAATGCACAATATACCCCTTGAAAAGGAATCCCTTCTTTGCCCTTCTTATGTGGGAATCTTCCTTCCACACTGGGATGCCCACCTTGGGTTTCTGAGTTCTCCTCCCACACCCCCCTCAAACCCAGTCTTTCTCTATCATTTCTCCTTTCTCTGAGCTCACGACCCCTAAATTCAGCTTCCTTTCCTGAAAGAGCCCTGAAACTGGAATGGAAGGGGTGAGCGCCTGGGTCTGCCATGCACTCCCCTTTGCTCCTAGTACTTTTAAGGGGGAGGGAAAGAATCAGCCCAGCTCACTAGTATGTCTAGTTGAGTTTCTGAGAACTCTAGCCTGGGTGTGTATGTCGCTCTCTCTCAAACTCTCCTCCTGCCCACTCGATTCCTATTGTTCATCTCTGTCTTTGTGCCCAGTGACTCCAATAAAAGCTAACATATTCAGCTCCCATTTCCTTTTGTTTTGACGATGGTGATGTAGGGTGGAGGGTGGTGGGGGTGTAGAGGTGCCGGGGCAAAGAGCAAGAGCCAATCTGTGGGCCACATTTGCTGGAGACAGTCTCCTTCCTAGTTCACTCTCCTGGCCAGCCAGGCTATATTCCTACCTTTACCTCCTAGAGTGAGTCATCAGGAAGGGAAGGAATAGCTGGACACAGAGGATTGACAGGGAGGAACTAGGCATTTTGCAAAGCCTCGGAATCCAGGTTCTGGGTGTGGTACTGGTAGGGGTGCTACTGAAATCCAGTTCTGGAAAACTCATCGCTGGCCCTTGTGTGTATGGGTGGAGTTACATGCTGAACTTTGGGCTGAGTTACATGAGGAAGTGGTGTTTTCATCTCCAGGCTTCATGGAGATGGTCCAGCACTCTCTGCTTCTGCATTATAGGGGCGACGACACTCACCCATGTGTCTGAGGGACTAGAACGAGACTCTGCTGCCTCAGTTGGATGCCAGCAAAACTGTTGGCATTGGTGGGGCTGCTTGTTGTTGTGGCATAATTTAGTGTGCCCTGACTGAACTGGATGAATCTGAGCAGAATGGTTTTCTCCTTTCCAGTCACAAAGCCATTAGAAATAAAGATCTGTTGGGCAGTGGTGGTCCACACCTTTAGTCCCAGCTTTCACTTGGGAGGCACAGGCAGGCGGGTCTCTGTAGGTTCTAGGCCTGGTCTGTAGAGCGAGTTCCAGCACAGCCAGGGCTATACAGAGAAACCCTGTCTTGAAAAACAAAATAAATAATAAAAATAGAAATATTTGTGTTCCTCGATCAGCTGTTCATATTTTCTGTTCATATTTCCCAGCAGCTGCACATCTTCTGTTTCCTGTCTTGTCAGATCCAGCCTTACCATTTGCATTCCCTGCCCCCCCCAAACAGTCTTGCCATGTAGCCAGTGCTGGCCCCGAACATTCAACCATCATGCATCTGCTTCCCAAGTTCTGGTATGTGGTCCCCTTTGCTTCTAGTGCCTTAGGGGGATCTGCACCCCTGTAATTTGGGGTCACAGGTATGCATCATCCATCACATCAGACTCTCCTCGGCCACCTGAGTCAGGTTCCGTGCCTGACCAAACCCTGGTCATGGTTTCTCTCTGACTGGAGTTGCAATGTGATAGCCATCTTTGGACGGTGATAGAAAGGACTGTTTCTCTATTCCTATGATGCTGGTGACAGTGGAACAACTTTAGAGACAGAATAATTGGTGACAACTCCATCTCCTCTGCCAGTGCCTTCTATGACCAAAGGCTTGGTAGGAGGTACAGGGTCTCTTGGCTCCATCCCAGACCGTCAGTGAAGATCCTTCAGCCGCACTGAGGTTTTCAAATAAGGATGCTCTCACCGAGCCAGGAAAATTCACTTCCTGTCTCCTTTCCTCATTCTTTTTTAGCCCCAGAATCTTCTCCTTATTCAAACAAAGTCCCTGACCTACTGGAATAAGTGTGTGTGTGTGTTGATGTACATGAACTGTGCCAAAGACTGGGTTGTCTCCTCCTGATTCTGGAAGAGTGGAATCCTCAAGCCACTGCACATACAGAGGTGTTTGGGGATAGTCTGTCTGAAGAGCCCAGTGATTTAGCTAAAATCACCAGGTTTTGGTTTGCTTTGTCACTAAGAAATTCTGGCTGGGTGTTGATGGCGCATGCCTTTAATCCCAGCATTTGGGAGGCAGAGGCAGGCGGATCTCTGTGAGTTCAAGGCCAGCCTGGTCTGCAGAGCGAGTGCCAGGACAGCCTCCAAAGCTACACAGAGAAACCCTATCTCAAAAAACAAAAACCAAAAAATTCTGGAGGTGCTCGCCTGTGGCCAGTTGGGTTATGATGAGAGGACAGTGGAGACTGCTTTAACTGTGACGTTGATCAGGCCACTGCACAAGTAGCTATCTTCCCAAAGAACACTCCTTGTGCAGTGTGAAGTCTCTATTAGGAGGCATACCCACCCTGAAAAATGCTCCCGAGCAGGAGAGGGAGGCCTAGGCTGGATCAGCTGGAATCTGGTTTCTCAGAAGGTCAGCTTTGGAGGAGATTTATTGGGAAGACACACCTGACGGTACAGACGACTTGGGCCCTGACTCTGAACATGTCTGAATTCGAGAAGCTGGGAAGAGGCTTAGCCTTGTTTTGCAGCTCTATCTAATGGGGCTCTTACAGCATGCAGGTTGGACTCCTCCATGCTTTCCCGTCAGTCCAGAAGGCTAATTGTCACAGTAAGACACATGCCAGTCTCTTCCCTGCCAGCCTTGAACAAGTTTTCCCACCCCAGAGGTCCAACTCTGACAGAGAAATGGGTGTTGGAAGAAGCCCTGGAAAGTCCCTTCCTGAATTGCCTTTTTAAGATCTGCTTGACTCATGACTCTGTCTCCCTCCTATGCTCTCCCAGCTTTGGGGAAGCAGCTGTGAATTCCCCAGGCTGACTCCTGCTTTCAGGTGATGGAGAGACAGGCAAAAAAGCACATGAACATCGGAGTTCTCTCAGATGGTGGCAAATGCAGTCAGAGACACAATCAGATGGCATACACTGGTGTGACTAGACCCGAGGCACTAGGTGTGGTGGTCAGCAACGTGGCCTCCCAAGGAGGTGACCCTGGAGATAAGACCCAGATGGCAAAAAATAAAAACAAAACAGAAAAAACTCTCCAAACAAGGTGTTACAAATCAATGGCACAACTTCTAGGGACAGGAAGGAAGCCAAGGTGGTTAGAACAAGATGTTGTGTCATACATATCCCCCATCCATGCTTAGTCTTTGGGTTTGATTAGAAGAATGATGCTGTGCTATGAAAGAGATGAGAGTGATTTGATTTTGTTCTCGGTGTCCCAGAGAAGTGGGGCTCTAGGGGTTGTTAACCAGCCTTTCAGGCTGGGGGTGGGGCAAGGTCAGGGGTGCCCCAACAGTGAGGACCTAGCTCCTAGTGTAGGTGGGTGTCAGGAGCCTCCCCTGAAAATGTGCATCTATTCCAGGGCCTCTCATGTTTGCTGGTCCCACCCCTGGTCTAGGAGAACCAGTTCTTCAGTGAGCTCCTACCCAGAGTTATGTATCCAAGTTTGGGTCACAACTGGGGAGTGTCCATCCATATCCGTATGCCTA